AGGAACAGTGCTGTCAAAAAGCCCACGCTATTTAGAGACTGACAGCTACCCCAGTAATTTAGCACGCTAAATCACAAAATATTTCAAAAGTTCCTTTTGACAGGTAAGTCTAATATGGTCAAGATTATTTTATCATCTTCAAGTTACAGTCCTCAGGCTAATGCGCTCTTAGACAACGTGGCACCTACCTACCAGGCAGTTAACACAAAAACCACAAGTAAATGTGAAGTTTGAGGTTTAGCCAGATTAGTTCTCAGAATATTAGAGCCATAAGAAATCTGCATTCTGCTTCTGGAGGCAACATACAATGACTTGAGTACAACAGCATTATGAAAAATTCTTTCTCTAGGGGGAAAAAAGCTTAGATGATCTTTTCACGTTTACATATTTGGGGTGGTGGGGAGAATCTTTTACAGCTGTAGAAGTTATTTTCCTAATTAAACCAAACAAGTATTATTCCAAATTGCAACGGACTGAAAGCTAAGTGATACACCCATACATCCTTCCTCAAAAGGATAAACACCTTCTACCACACATAGTCACAGTGCTCCAATTTATCAACACTTGCTCTTTAAGAAAATCTAGGCAGATTCCCACAAACCCAGTAGGAACATTTAAAAAACATTTCAAAATATTATTCCAAAAAGGTTCTTCAAAACCATTAGAAAAGTTGATATAATTTCAAGTGCCTGTTCCCAGCTACATACCCAAGTACCTGCTACCTTTAAATCTCAGATACCTAGAGCATCACCAACAAAAACATTTTATCTCAGCCCAGCTAAGTGTCCACATAAAATGTCATGCTCTCAACAACCTTCATTCTAAAAGGTTCAGAATTTCTGAGGCACTACATTACACCAGAGCACTGCTCTTACACACTGTAACTGCACCACAGCACCACGATGCTCCAGCTACACCAGGCTCTAGAAGCAGTCCAGCTGAAGAAACCTAAACTGTTCTGTACAACATAATGCAAGACATGCCCATATTCTTTCAGGAAGAATTTCACTCATACATAAAACCATCCAGTCCATTTCAGGATCACCAAAACACCCCACAAGAGAACAAGCTGTGGGGATGGCCAAGAATGCCACAGTCTGAGATGTGCTACCCTGGTAACTCCCCAACTAACTGCAACCACTCATCTAGTCCACCAGCTAGGACTGCAACAGGAAACCAGGGGTAATACTTTCTAGTGAAGTTTGCCAAGAGATTAGACTGAATATCATCATCATCACATAAGTACAGTTCTTTTCTTTTGCAGCTGCCAATGAAAAAGGGGTAACACGTTTTTAGCTAGTTTCAAAAGCTACATAGGAATCCACACATGCAGTCCCTAGTAAATACAGAGCCTCATCCACAAGGTATCCAGGTTCTAACTTCTCTCAATCTAAAACCTCAAATGGATGTTAACAACTTTTGGTTTTAAATCAGCATTTGTGCATATTCATCAAAGCAGAAGCAAGCAACAAATATATTGCCCAAAACCTCATTTACAGCAGTACAATAACATTTTCCTTGAAGAACCTGCAACAAATACCACAAGAAACCAAAAGACCCAAAACCTTGAAGCAGCATCATCTAGGCTTTTAGGATGTAAATGTCAGTGATCCACTCGACAGCTGCTAGATTATGCATGTGGCCTAAATCATCCCCGATTTTAAAGGAATCTGATTTTGAAAAACCTTTTCTCACTGTGTCATAGTGATAGCATATTGACAGCATCATTTTGGCATTCCTTTGCTGTTTAGGACATTTTTACTGCCTATTCTCATCATCTGTTTATTTTTGGCTTCATTTTTCTAAATACTGAAGCTGCCCTATCAGTTTCACAGGCTTATAAATGTTATACATCAAAAATTAGTTTCACTTATTAAGGCAGGAAACGGCTTTAAGAACTCTGGGATCTGTGCCTCAAAGCAAAAGCTTTATCAGCAGGTTCCAGTCACTGCTTCTTGCAAAAGAAAATGGTGCCGATTAAAACCCCATACACCTGATTTCAAAAAGAACACCTACCCACTGAACATTTTCACATGGCTGCAAGGGGGGGCTGTACCCCAAAGAGAAGGCAGCTCTCTCACATGCTCCCTGCCCCCAACCCTGCTCAAGGAAAATGAAAACTATACATAGAAAGATGAAGTTGAGATAAAAGAACAATAATTCATCCACTCATTTCTCCAGACTTCAGAAGTGGTGCACTTTAGTACACAGTATAGCTCCATGCCTGACTTCCTCATGGTGTTGTGTTGCACTTGGGAGTTAGAGGGATACAAATAACCACATAATTTAAAAATGAACACTCTTCTAAATATTACATAAAATGAGTTTTAAAAGGCGCATTTAAGCTGCAAAGTAGAGATAGAACCAAGACTATACAATATGAAAGCAATAATTTTATTAATTGTACACAACATGATTTTTGAATCAGTCTTTTCCATAATCAAATCCTTTCCTAAAATTCTTTAGTGAATCAAAATTAGTCACTGTTAGAATTATTTCCTCAGAACAAGAAGTATTTTAAAAGATCCCTTAAAAAAATACAGCTTCTTAGAAAGAAAGAACCACCTTGCAGTGGGTAGTGGAGCCCATCTTTACAGCAGAAGAGAACCCCAGTGAATTCACATGATTCTGCCTCAGATTTCCTCATGAGATCAAGCCAGAGTCATTTGAGTCTTCCTTCTTTCAACATCCTATTTATTCAGATAAACCCACTTAACCAAAACCGAGTCAGGGCTGTGAATACTAATAATGTTTCAAGCATTTTGTTTTCAGAATTACAACATGCTAATATTTGAAAGTCAACAATTTGGAGCTAATGTTCCACAAATAATAATGCATTGCTGTAGCACCTGGGATATGCTAGACGTACAATCCCATGGCTACCAAAGTCAGATAACAGTTTATCATAAATATTACAAAACCTTAGAACTTCTCACATTAATTTGTTTTTACATTCAAACAATTTGCACTAGCACCTCAGTATGTTTTATTGATTATGATACTCTAACCACTTCAGACTAGATGGGATAATGACATTTGTGAAGAGAACAGCCAACTGTTTTTCCTGTTGTAAACATGAAAGGCAACACAAAGGTATCCCAATGAGAAGCTGGTCAGACTCAAAGAGAACGCCAGGATACCTTCCTGTCACTGTTAGTAGCTGTTACCTTTGTGGACTGAAGTTCTGTGGTCACTGGTGAAAAGGCAGCTGAGAGTCTAGACATTAGTCCCCCAAGTGACTAAAGAGTTTAATGATGTGTGTAGGTAAGAATATACACTAAGAAACAGTTTTAATCTTATTTACAGAACCTTAAGAGTTGTATTTCCCATCTGTTTTTCCTGTTGTAAACATGAAAGGCAACACAAAGGTATCCCAATGAGAAGCTGGTCAGACTCAAAGAGAACGCCAGGATACCTTCCTGTCACTGTTAGTAGCTGTTACCTTTGTGGACTGAAGTTCTGTGGTCACTGGTGAAAAGGCAGCTGAGAGTCTAGACATTAGTCCCCCAAGTGACTAAAGAGTTTAATAATTGTGTAAGAATATACACTAAGAAACAGTTTTACCTAATCTTATTTACAGAACCTTAAGAGTTGTATTTCCCATTTCAAAAGCCATCTGTTTTAAAAGCCATCCCAATCTCGTATTATATGGAATTAAACAGATTTACATCTGCAATTTTTCATTATAGCTTTGAGGGCCTGTACTTAGGGAACACTTTAAATATTTGTATAAGAAGTATTCTGAATTTGTCTTTCTTAATGCTGTTCTAATACATTTAAATTTAGCTAGTATATACAGTGGACAAAAAGTTCCCATTAATTCTTTGGAAATAGAAGAGTATGCAAGATTGAAAAATTAAAGGAAAAAAACATAATATATATTAGAAATAAGAATAAGTCTAGAATATTTATAGCTTAAATGATATTAAACAGTTGACTTTAAAAATGACAGCTTCTCCACTCATCATAAATACTAGTGAGTTACTTGTTCTCACCTGGCTTCAAAACTACCTTTTTATCCTAATTTTCATCCTTTCCATTTTCTCCCCCATGCACACATAATGCTCTGCACACAGCAGTGGGCACAGCAGCCTTCAGGGATTGCCATTATGTACTTCAGCTGCTACCACCTACCATGCATGCACCCATTTAACTATTCCTAGATGAAACTGGAATTACCACAGGTATCTGATGGGATTTCTCACCAGTTTAAGTATGCACTCATACTACATGCCAATGTAAAGGGTCCACTTTTTGGAGCAAAGAGCAGCACAGCCTTCACAGAATTACTCAGATAAAACAACTAACAAGATAACACCTTGAAAAAAGATGTTTCTTTCACCCTGATTTTTATATACTAAAAATGATGACAAGGAGGAGAAAAATCCATTCATTCTGTAAGTATCAATCCAAGGCTATAGCATGACATTTGACATCCACCTGCTCTCATTCTTCAGAATTCTTCCAGCCATCAACTCCTGATCACATGAATACACCAGAAAAAAAGCACTAACACTCAAGTTGGAGTATATCCATCCTTATTCAGGCATGTCTTGCTCTAACTTGCTAAACCTCCACCTTTCTGCAAGTCTCCTAAACTTATTGAGGGGGAATGGGAAAAAAAAATAAACCCGAGGTACAGGGAACTCACAGGAAAGGAACATTCTACTCCTGTTTTATTGGCTTGTGACACGCAGACAAATCAAAAGCTCAATATTGATGACTAGTTACTAACTCCTGACTTGAGGACCTGACAGGAAGGCTTTAAGGCAAGGTTACTTGGGATTCTTCATGGCTCTACTTTCAATTCTTATACACGGCTACAGCTGTCCAAGCATTACTAGATCAGCAGCAAAATCCTTCAATCACTGACAAAAGTCTCCTTAGGAAACAGGAAAGATGCCCCAAACCATCTTCAATGCTATTTCAGTTACCACACTTTTCGTGCAGATGTACAAAACTAAATCTTTCCTCAGAGCCCTTGTTCCCAGCCCACTTACCTCACGAATGGCTAATCTATCACTCAGCTCCTCAGCCTTGTCAATGTCACCTTCGGCCACAGACTTCTCTATGCTAAGTTCAAGGCCAGACTAGAAAAAGAAAAGCAATTATTTTTAGGACAACTAAGAAATAACATGTTTAAAGGAGGTATCTCATTTCTAAAAATATTTCTCTAATAAAATTCTTTATTTTAAGACACTGCATAAACCTGTAATTTCTCTGTAACACACATCACTGTCTGTGTATTGTAATGGACATATAATTAAGAATTCACTGAAAGGCTGCCTGAGCACAAATCATTGCATTAGTTCCACCTTATGTGCAGGATAATACTGCAGGTTAAAAAAATTACATGGACTAGTTTATGCCTGTCAAAATAAAATTTCATCTGAAGATCTGGCTTATCTCTTCCATCCCTGGAGCTTTCTAAACAAAACGTGCAATATATGTGTCAGGTAACATGAAGAATGGCAATTACCACTGTATCGTTACAGTTCTGAGATCTTATCTCTCTCCAAAAACCCACGAGTTCTGGCGTGGTGCCATTCCTCTGTGCTAATAAATCACAAATTCTAGCAGTCCAATGGAAAACAATGAAAAAGCTTTAGAATTTAATCTCTTAAATTAAAAAATAACCTTTATGATGAAGGTAACTTAACTTGTTTAACAACATTTACAAATAATGTAACAATAAAAAGTCAATATTTACTGGAAATTACTGTTGGGAACTTCTGAAGGAATATAAAAGGGTAGTGTAAGAATAGGCTCCGACTTAAGAATATCACCAAAAAAAAATCCACACTCTCATAAAAAAAAAAAGAATATTTGAAACCAGTGAGGCTGTGAATAGAAGTGATACTACAGGAAACACATTTGACAGTTTTGTAGTATATACTTTTTAAAAAGATAAAAGCATAAAAACAAACAGAATCCTTGAGAAACAGTGATCTGCAAATACTGGACTTGAATTATTCAGGTGGAAGTTGCAGTGACAGCCAATTCTGTTAGATGTCTTTTCTGAAACTGAGACAGACACTCCACTACTGATAAAATCTCTGCACCTACATGGAGAGCATCTGCATTTTAACACTTCAGGCCTCATTCCAGATCTGTCCTCAGCAGTTTAATATCAACTAAATACCCGTCAAAAGGAAGAACACAAAAGTGAACAATGTTTCATGACTCACATGCAGAAACTCATTTTAAGTAAAAGAAAAATATAAAGTTTACCATAAATGAGGCTAATTGAACATTTGATATCATACAACTTATATTGGCCTTTAAAGAGATTCTTAACTTGCACATCATATTAAACCAGTCATTTCAAGTATGAGTGGTTACACAATGATATTTACACACAGACTGTGTTATAAATCCAGTAAAACTGTGTGGCAGGTTTGACTCTCTAATTTCTATAGCCACTGGTGCCAAGTAATGGATTTACTTGACACATTTCAAAGTTAAAACATGACTAAAAAATGAAGGGAAAAAAATCAAACCATGCATATGAAGTCTTCTGTTTCCCATGATAATAAAGGAAATAACAGAAAACAGAAAGACAGGAAGCAAACAGATACTGTCTCGAAAGCACAGCAGTCCTTCAATCCAAGTACAATTCATGTGATATATAAAAGGAGATTCATTTAAAACGCGCACAAAAGTATCCTTCCTCAGAGTGACTTGCTTATTTACTCACTTTCAAATACTCTATTTCTATCTTAGTTAAGGCTGAGTTTTTACTGCCAAGCACAAGCTGACATTGCTTTTGTAACAAGAGTCACCTTTTGTGGAGCCCTGCTGTCCACAAGTGATTCAAATCTATCATTGGCTCCAAAGTACTGTGTAAGTTCTTTCCATTTGTCTTCATTTACCAGCTCTTGACTACTAAAACCAAAACAAAAGTGAGTCATTAATATAGCCTGTTCCCTTCCCACAACTTTTAATAGTCTTTTCAACCCTAAAAGAAATTCTGCCATTAAATTACTTATTCCTTTCCCCCTGTAAGTGTAATGCCACAATATGGAAAGCAAGCTTGTACACAACTCCATGCAAAACACCCTTAGGAAGAACATTAAGCCCATTTTCAGTTCCCTTCAATAATACAGTCGTGTTATTTTTAAAATCAAGCAATAAAGTTCATTAAGCACTCCCTGGAATCAACTTCAGCTTGCCCAACAGAGACACTGAACAACTTCAGCAGATGCTTCACGTGATGTTCAAAGCCAGGCTTTGCCCATGCACATGGTCTTTGACAAGTTTTGTCTGATATTAAAGCAGATCTCAGACAATCACATTGATCTGGTTATACCTCTTAGTCACTTCATCGTTCTTTTTCTGTTTTTCTAGGGGAAAAAAAGAAAAGAAAATGCAACATTACACAGGAGTACCCTACAGCACCCAGTGAAGTGAACAGAACTGTGGTCACATTTCCTTTGCAAGACTGACACCCTAGGATTTTTACCCAAGATCACATGGATTTAAACTTTTCATACAAAGAACCTCCTATATCTGCAAAGAACTTGTAACCAGAATACACAAAAGTATGTTATAGAGTTACTGAAACACACTTAGCCATTACAGATCAGTATTAATCGTGAAGTTCTAACTCTTTCTTAAAAAGGTGACAAAGGTATGAGATGAAAAACTTTAAGTAGCAATTTAAAACCTAGTCCTACAAGTGATGTATACAACTGGAAACACAAAATACTAAATAATAGCTAGAATATATCTATTCAAACATTCAATTCTTGGTAAAAAAAAAACCATCAAACAAAAACAAACAAAAAAAACCCCACAATCCAGCAACCCCCACTTTCAGTGGATTTGATACCAATTCCATTTTGAGAAAGTAAATTCTGCAATTATATAACACACCTTTTCTGCGGCGCTTTCTTTTCCTGCTTTTGTATCCCTCATTTGCTTGTGTCTTCATTTCATGGTTTTTCTTCTGAAGCTCCAAAAATTTCTGCAACAGTGAGAAAAGGCAAATAAGGGGTTTAATTTTTTTCCCTATTTTTTAAAAAAAAATGTGTTGAGAAATGTCATCCCAGTATCTATATATCCACAGTAGCTTGCTGTAACTACAGCATTAACATTTATGCATTCAGAACATCCAACTCCAATAGTGTCAAACTGGAATCATCCCTAATCTTCCACCACCTCTCTCTGACTTTCTACCCTTTGTAAATCCAAGAACTATTCAATTTTGTTTCCCAGGACATGACAATGATCTCAGCTGGGCTGGCTGTGCACTCCTGAGCTACTCAGTGTGTTGCTACTGCCTAGCTGGCATTTTGTCATGCAGGTACTAGTGACAGCACAGCCTCTGCACAGCAGGCTACTTGTGTGGAGAAAAGAAACCAGCTTTTGCCAAGGCTTATTTTGACTCAAAAACCTAAAACACAGATTGCTTTGTTTACATTGACTTTTCTCCAGTCCTTACTGGCACCAAGAAAATCAAGAGTTTATAAGCAACTAGCAGTCTGAGTGCCTGCAGGTAACCCCTACAGAAAGCAGAAATGTACACGCCTCTGTGTCACAGATATTTGGCCACAAATCCCCATAAAAGCAGAAAGCAGTTAAAAAAGAAGCTCCAAATCCATACACTACCAAAAACTCAAGTCCTTAGGCAACTGTATAGTTATCCAAACATCTCCCTGCTGGGCTTTCAATCACCATGGTACTAGGGGGGAAAATTCCTGTTCTCCCTGCTTGAAACAATCTAGGGTATATTATGACAGTTGCACTTCAATCATATTTTATTTCATTTCAGATCTGTATATTGAATATCCAACACTGAGTTATTTAAATCTAAAAATCAGCCATTCAACTTTGAGTATGTTGCATTTACCCTCTGGACACCTGGAGACCTGTAATGATACCCACATTCCACATACTCAAAGGAACTCCAGAAGGGCACGTGTGAGATTCATTTTCTCCATCTGTCGCTGACCTCTCAACAGCTTCAGGGTTGGCATTACTTTCAGGTCCATTCTCCTGGGATTCAGAAAGCAGAACTCTTCCAGCATCTTCCTTTGCACCCTTTGAAAAGGAGCCATGCAATTCATCTCCATCGTCAGAACTGAAGTCAACGTCACTTTCATTCAGTCCTGGAGGTAACAGTCCACTCCACATCTCCCAGTTTAAACAAGTCCAGGCCACTTTAAGTCACTGCAAAGACACCAGAGTCATGTGAGCTTACCCATTCCAAGACAAAAACACGATTAGCCTGCAGAAGAGAGAAGCCGGAATAACAAAACACAGCAACTGAAAACAAAATTACTATCGTTAGACGTTTAAGACAAGCACATAACACAGGTTCTAATACTCACTATTCCAGAAAGAAATCGAAGATTTACATACAGAGAGTGAGAATATTGGTTCTTGTTTCTTTTCTCCTTCCTTGTTCTCCAAAGTTTCGTCCCCTCGCATTTGTTTACAGCCGCTTTCAGCTGAAGGGCGATACCGCACCGAACAGGGGAGGCCCCTTTGGCGGAGAGCGTCCCACCCTCGCC